GGGCAGTGGCCGGTAGGATGAACTTAGTAACTGGCGCTAGTGACTAGAATGGAGTGGAATAAACTAGCTTAAAAATAAACATTGAATACTTGTTAAAGGCTCAATCTATTATATATAGTTATAGTTTTGCTTTTGGTGGCTATAAACACGATTGTGATTTATTTAAAAATTTATATATATGTTTTGAATGCCGAAGTTATGATTAAAAAGTGCTGCTTATAAATTCAAATTCAATCGGACTTTAATTTGGTTAAATAGAGCTTTTGATTATGTTGCAATATTCAAAATATTCTGTATTTAAGTTAATGCTTCAGGTTAGCCACAACATTCAGCATTTATAAGCAGTATAAGCCACAGCAGCTCAGAACCGTGCGCGAAGCCATTACACCACCACAGATAGATACTAACAGGGCCGATCAGCCGCGAGGGTAGCGGGACCTTGCAAAAAAGCTTCGAACCATATCCCTTATGGAATCAACTTTTAAGTTTAGAATTTTGAATCGAACACATACTGTTTACACATCAACAAAAATAATAGTTTCAGAGTTCGCTTAAATGACATTATGATATCAACACACATAAAATTTGAAACACGATACAATGAGGACTATCAGCTAAATGACTCGTTCCATCTGAACACGGGCTTACAACATAATCAGTGGAACAGTGCATTCGCTTCGGCAAATAATTATCGACGACTAGTGATTGAGATCTAGTCGCTAAATACACGTATCCAAAACGTATTAGTCAAGTAGCTAGCAGAGTACTGGCGTGGTATATTGGCACTAATTGTAATTAGGATTTGGTGCCAAAGTCGCGTGTGCTTTACAAGAAGGTGGTGGTAATTAACTCAGTGGAAAAGTCATTCAGAATAAGATTCCCATATCACATCATAAGTGCCCACTCCTGAGCAAAGGCCTCTTCTCACACGTTTGAGCATTAAGTAATAACCAAGCTTACTCGAAGAGGATTGGCGATTTCAAACCTATGATTAAAAATTATTAGCCAAGTTTCCTCACGATGTTTTCCTTCACCGTATGCCAGTGGTATCTAAATAATCATACGAAGTATTTATATATCGGAAAAAGTCACATTGGTACTTGCCAGGTTTCGAATCTCCGGGCCACCATGACTACCTATACTATACACGACTATGACTTGAAAAGAGACGGACCTCTGAGTTCGGAATTTCTTCTCAGAGTAGTCAGATAGAAAATGCTGGCTTCCTCTAGTTTTTTACATATAATTTTGACGTGTAAAAGTTCTGTTTTATGTATGTGTCATTGTTTCATGACACTAGATATATATTGATTTATAATTTTGTTTAGATTACCACATATATTTTATAGAATGGGTGAAATTCTTTCCTTCGCCAATTATCGCTCATAACACATGAGCAGTCTAAAAAATCGCAAGGTTTTGTGATCATGAAACAGTGCGCTTGTCTGAACCACGCTTAATGCTAATCCCATTTAAAACTAATTTGGAATAAATATTTTAGTTGTGTGCAACGACCAAATTAATGCGACAGACGACGGATATTAATGTTAAAGTTGTGTTGCAATCATGTCGCTAACTATTGCGTTCCGGTCGTACGTTTCAGTCGCGTGCGCGTGTCCATTATAACACGACACGACACAAAATAGCGGTAGGTATCTAAATACCGCTCACAAATAATATTTTTTTATATTATTATTCTAACTACATCAAAATTTATTTGATTATAGCTCGAAAAGATAATCACAAAGGCATTTAACTCCCTTTTTAGCTGTCAACATAAAAGTTCTTTGTTCTATTAACGGATTGACGCACCGACAAATATTACTTTACGACACTATTGTCTACTAATAGACGTTGACGAATCCGTTTGTAGCAATTAAGTTGTAAACAATGAGTGCACAGTGCTCAAACTCTAATCAACACCAGACAAAATATGTAGACACAGTTTTAAGTTATCTTTGTACTTATTTTAATAATGTATTAATTGTATCTAATGTTTATTTTAAAAATCATGTCTATTTCGTATAAACAAGGTTCAATTTCCTAGAATAATAACTTGGCAACTTTGAAGTAAGTACAAAAGTATGCTTTGATACGTATTTCTAAATTCATCACGCCTTTTCATACATAGAGTACTTCAGAGTCACATTTTAATTGAAAACTGGCTTCCTGCCCTAGTCTTGTCACGTGTATTGCAAAAGCTAACTAAGGGATCACACATATAATTTCACAAAACTTGAAACCGTTCAAACTGCGCTGATAATGGAGATTATGGAAAACTCCTCTTTTGAACTGTAGGTTTATAATTGAGTACTTAGTTTATTCCGAAAAAATATGGTGTTGATCATTACTTTTTAAAGGGATGTAGGTTATGTGTCTGTTTAACTGATCTGTGGCTTTAGAATTACCCTTATAACAACAATATATGATCTATAACAAGCAGGTTATTATCGCCTATAATAAAAAACGTCCTAAAATGATGATTTCCATCAGATATTTAGCAAATTAATCAGTATAAAATTACGTACCGTTGGCAAGGGATGTTAATAATGTAGCGGTTGCCATGACAACGGCCGGCCCTTGAGGGCTACTGCGCCGCGGGTAATATGTAGTCAGATGACATCGCACTGTGCTACAAACAGGGGGAATCGAGCACAAAATTACGTTAGATTTTTGTTGTTATTGTTGCGAGAAAAAATATTTCCTTTCACTCTTTAACTTTGAGCTTAAAAAGTCCTTGTTTTTAATGTTTGAAAAATCCCGTCCGTTATATCCGAATCGATAAACTACAGCTTTAAGGGTTTTATATAATTTAAAAATTACTAAAACCTGAAGTAAGACTTCTATGAACATTTCCGAAAGTTAATTAATTTTTTACACATCTTTAGATCACTTGAAATCAACAAAAGTAGAAACAAGGATAAACAAATAGATAATTTACACGTATATCGCCGCTAGCAACTCGATCGCGTCTGTGCCCTAAGCTGTACTAAATCTACTGGTATTCAATTTTCATCGATCAGTTAAGATAATTAGCGGGTGGCCGTAATTTACAGCATGTTGATCAAATAACTACTGCGCTCATCTCATCGGACGTGTTCGGGGACCTACACACGATGCGACGTGTAATTAGTACTGGATGACAGCACACACGCTGGACTAAATATTGAACGAGCTGGAAAAAAAGAAAATAACTAAAAGCCGTTATGAACTGAAAAGACCGAGAAAGAGTAACTTAAATAATAATTATTATTTTTTATGTTTTTTTTATTATTATACAAGTTTTACTTCATAAAAGTAGGTAGAATATTTTGTCTAGATAGCCTGTCAGTGATTTAATATAAATAAACTATACATCGCCGGTATAATCCCCGGCCTCGCAAAACCGGCGTGAAACAATCACAGCGTTGTGTTTCGTCGTGTAAGTGAGGTTACCACAGGCCTAATCCTTTTTAACCCTCCGCCGTTCTGCCCTAATTAATAAATCTCCAAAATCCTAATCCCTAAGTTGCGAGTGTAAATGGGCGGAGTCGATTGCTTACCATCAGGTAATCCGTCTGCTGACCAATCACATAAAAAAATCATTTCCAAACATGGGTCAAATTATGTAGCAACGGTAAATTTCGTGACGTATGATCTATTTTTAAAGTTTTATCGTAATTTAAACATTAATACTTTGATGTTGGTATAGTAAAAACAATAATTTAAATGCTAGTGATGCAGTGAAAACAAAGATGGAAGCGGCCCAGTATGAGATAAGTAAATATTTATACTTCAGTCATTTCTTCCATTTCGTTATTTCGTTTTCAAAGCAGCAAACGTCACTTAATATTTCTAGGAAGTTTATTTTTTCACGCGTATCATTCTCAGTTTTGTGAAATGTTTGAATGATTAAAGCAAATAAAAATTTTTACTAATTTCTTTACTACATTTATATAGTTATCAATATTTTTTCTTTTATTTTCAAGCGTGTTCTGATTATATTATCTCAAATAAAAGATAAAGAAACAAATATTCATCTTTGAAGTTTATTTCATACCCAAGAAAATCAATTAAACGATTCCCTGATCTCATATCCATTGAATTTCGGCACGTTGTCAATTCATGGTCGAACAAAAATGTGCAATTTGAATTTTGGCGTGTGTCCAACCGATGGCTGTGATGGCACACTGTGCAGCCATTAACATATTAATGCAAAACGTTATTAGGGGCGGTAACTGATGGCCGGCTTAGACAGCCATGTTGAAAGCTGACGATAGTTCACGTAGGGTAAGAATGGGTATTACCGGTCACTTAAGGCAAAATGATCACAAATCAAATAATTATAAACATTTCTTTATTAAACCTTTTAACAATCAAACTATAGGTATTCTTCTATCAAAATCACATTAATTCAGATCAATAATTTAAATAAATTTAGCACAATCAGCATTTAAAAAAAAATCGAGTTTGACTGGTATTAGACACATCGGCAGGTAAAACCAGTCAGTAGGTTGCTAATGCCGGTCAAGCTTTGTTCAGGCATGAGTCGCAAATGAAACCCTCAGGAGAGTCATAACCAGAGCACTCAGCGTGTGCCCAGACACCACACAGCATACATCTATACCAGAGCTCGTTATCACGTCCATAATCATCGCAAATAAAACATTTGTTTTCATAATCTTCGTCAGCATCGGTGTCTTCGTCTTTATGCAGGTCTGTCATTTCTACTTCTGAGTCCGACGTCCTCTCATTTCATTTGTTTATATCTTGGAGCACTTTAGCACTATCTTTTTAGCTTTTTTTTCACTTCCATTGATTTTCCTTTTCTTTTATCAGTCGTTTTTTCGGTTTTTATTTTAAGAATTGGCTTTTTCTTCTTCTTTGTAATTTTTCTGTTTTCTTTCTCGACTAAAGCTTCTTTGTTAGGAATTTCTGTTAATACTGTTTGCGAGATCGTATGTTTTTTTCTTGTCCCTCGACTTATTTCGTAGTGGCAAAAGATCCTTAACAGTGACAGGTTAACCAATGCTGGAAATAGAAGGAACGGGGTTGTCATAATGTAGTTGTTTCATTATTTGTCCCTGTTTAGTTGCTCTTGGCTCCACGATGCCTTTGAATTGGGTTGGCTTCTTCTTTTTGCCATCCTAAAATAATAAAAAAAATCATTAATAGTAAAATAAATTATACCCGTGTTTACCAATTTTACTTGTGGTTAATACCGGTCAGCATGACCGGCATTGCCCGATTCGCAACATCTTCATAAAAAAACTTCTAGATATTAAACCTGACCAAATAAGTTAAAAAACGATTATCACTCTGAATGCTAAGTAATTATGGTGCAACAATCCTAGGTAACAATGTAAGAAACGTGAAATTATAAACACTCACCTGTTATCGTTTTATCCCGAAAATTTACATCAACTAGGCGCGAAAACAAACGACGTGAATTCACCCAAGAAGTCGGCTGCGGAATTAAGCGGGGACCGGGGCGTTGTCGCTCGGCGACATCACTCCACTCGCTGTGTATGTGTACTTGCGTCGGAACACAGTAGTTTTTGAGATTTTAGATTGACCGGTAATACCTCCTGACCGGTATTACCCGGTTCTACCCTACTGCCGATTAAGGCAACAGCAGACATCCAGGTGTACTATTGGTAGATTTATATGGAAATTTATTTAAAAATGTATAGTATACGTAGCACTGTTTTTTCTGTAACAAGGATCCGATAGAAATGCTTCTACCCTCATGAGAAAAAGGCAGATATTTTGTGTATTAAGATATTTGCTGATAAATATTATCTTAAATATGATTACATAAAATGAGACAAATTCGTTTTCTTTCTCCCTAATTCTCTCTATCGGACTTTGATGCGGTTCCTTACTAGATAGAGCGGTTGAAGATTAAGGTTTATAATTATGTATAATAACATCTACTAAATAATAGAGAAGTTTAGTATGACCATCGCACCCATGCGAAGTCGGAGAGAGTCGCTAGTATGATCATAAAATAAAACGATGTTTCACATTTCTAAGCAAAAAAAATAATCAAAGTACTCATAAATAACTCATAAGTACCATTACTTATCAAAAAACATAGTACACAATCCATTGCGTGCTGGCTGCGTAGAACAGTATAAATCAATGTAACCGAACGCGTAACGGCAGGTGTTCTATTATTTACCGACTATTTTATCCTCGCAGTAAAAGTGCGTGTAATTACCGGTGTAAATTACTGTACTTACGTGATTATGGTTATTTCTTAATCCAAGTGTGCTTACCTGTGGATTAAATAAAAAATAAATTAGACATTAGAGCAATAAGTAAGAATAAGATCGAGATAAAGTTAGCAGTCCTGCCAGAATGCTTGAAAGTCAACATTGTTGAGCTCAAACGTGGGAGAAGTACTATTCGCTATTTATATATTTTTAGAGTCACTGAGAACTGCTTAGCTTTCATATTATATAGGTATATAAAACTTGTTAAAATCAGTTGAAGCTACGCTAACGCCTACCCATAAGCAGCCTATTCACTCGGGCCTTGAAGACCCCAAGGTTTAACCGTTCGGGAAACACAGATTCCGGAAAAAATATCCACTCTACACTCTATATACACATGAAACGAGGACGTAAATGTAGTTTTGATTATTATTTCTGGTAAGGTTAGAACCTTAGACTTCAATAGACCACCAGTCTTTTCGAAGACTCCTTGAAATTTTATCATTCTTCTTTTATCCATACAACTTTCAAAAGTAAATTAATTAGTTGTTCTACTTCAATAAACCAACGAAAAAATCCCAATTAAAATGAAAAACAAGAGTACTTGTCGTCGAAACACTTGAGTCATAATTTTGTATTTAGCTACTGTGCTGCATACAAAGTCGATAAGTGGTCATAAGTCATAAGTCCCAATAAGTAATGACGTGTACACACTGGCACACTGGCGGTGTTTAAATGGCTAATTAGAAACGGGAAGTTTTAGTTAAATTTAGTAAATGGATTTTGAAATACTTCGTTTCCAGTGTTCTACTGCTAAAAGCTGATTTTAAAATCTGCTATATTTACTGAAGAAGATGTTGATAAAGATATTTGTAGAAGAATAGAATTTGGCATTTTTTAAATGTATGTAAGCAATCAGCGCCGCCTTTGCATATCCGCAACAACGGAGATGTTACGAATACGATCGGACCATTTGGGTATTGGAGTTATGGAGATTTACCATTGAGCCTCTGGTAAAACTATCGACATAGTTTTTCTTTTTGGTAATATTTGTATCAGTACTTTTTTAACTGGTATCTAATAATTTCTCGTAATATTTTTTCCAACTATCATTCATTACCATTATTTTTTTGCTAATGTTTATTTATCTCTAACTCTCTCTCTCTCTCTCTCTCTCTCTCTCTCTCTCTTTGCAGTCTTTCTCTTCTTTTGTACATAAACCTAATACATGAGTACACATTTACTCATTGTATCCTTTTCCCATAGTCTATCCTCGTCCTAACACAAGTCATGCGCAGCTTGCATGCGCCGGCGCCACGGCACTCGTATATCTGTCACAAATCGGCGCGCGCGCAACCAGCCTTTATTGGACGCCCATTGAGAACCGACACACATTCATTGCAGGAATTCGTAGGCGTATGTATAAATAACTTTAGAAAAAATCTAAATAGATTTTGTTACTTTGGTATAAGGTAAATTAACAGTTCTCATAGTCATGGAACTAGGAATAAGTAACAAATAATCAAGTTTATCTATCTAGCAGCTCAGTAAATTTATCTTTTGACAACAGCTTCTTATTAGTTGACTGAGGCCAATATTCTTATACCTATTTAATAATAAAAAAAAACTGTAAGTATTAATATTGCTACGCGCATTACTCTTGAACAGCTGAACCGATTTCGATATCCAAAAAAATTTTTTTAGAATACTCCTTGAATTATGAGTATGGTTCTTACGCCAAAAAATAGGTTAGGGCTACGCCTTACCTACGGCGTAGGAAAGAGAAGAAAAGAAAATAGTTAATAGTTCAAGTTTTATGACTTTACTTATTTCTAAATAAGTTATAATAACCTAAATATAACACCTTTATATTAAATTGGTCATTACTTTAGCACATAGGAAAGCCGGTGCCACTAATAAACCTATAATAACAATACGTATGTGTTTTCAATAATATTTTACGTACATATATATTAAACTTTAATCTCTGCCGACGCTAGATGGCGCTGTCGTTAAATCATTTTAGAGGCTTTTAAATCGCTGTAATGGGCGACTGGCTTCATTACGGTGTAACATTGTAACCATAATGTAACTTCACATTCAAGATATATAACTCTTTATTGGGACCCGTAAAAAGGAGTAATGTCTACTTTCTAAGTGCGTAATTAGGATGTGTGTGTATGTTTATGTCGATAATTTAATTGTAAATAATTCAAATATTAAGTATGTTGTAAATAGGAAATAAAATAAAATATCTTGGATTATTATTTCTTGTAAAAGAATTGTCTTTTGTTTTACGTGAACTTTGTTAATAGACAAGTATGTCTATGGTCAGCGGTAATTAATGTGAGAATTTACTTGGAACAGAATATTTCAAATTTCTTTATGCATATAATCTTCAGTTCATTTATATATTTTGTATGTGCCAGAAATCGGCGTGCGTTTGAGTGACGAGTGCGTAGCGCAACTTTTAGGGATCAACCAATTGGGGATGTGGGGAGGGGATGTACTGGACTTGACAGAGTTGGAGTTTCTACTCGTTCTTCTCTATTCGAATCTACACTTTGGAACGAGCTAGCTTCACTGACGAACAGACTATATATATTATTATATTTTGTCATTTCAAAAATGCCTATACAAAATTATATTCGTTAGGTTTAGTTGGAATTAATGATTTTAAATTTGATTTTGAAAAACACGCCGTGGTTTCACGCGGGTTGTATGAGAGCGTGGTATCATCCGGTCGAGCCGACCCATTCCTGCGCAAGCATGGCTCTCCCACACTTAAGGTTTTAAGGCATCTATAGAGGATGTGATGTACTAACATCTATATTATAAATTTATTATGTACCTACCTAAGCCGTTTAGTTTACGACGTTAATAAACTGTTGATTTACGCGATAGTACCGTAACTGTTCATTAAGTAGCGAACATACGGCAACACATATTATTACCACAATCAATGGCCCATTAATATTATATTGCCAACCTAGGTAACTAGGTATATGTGCATAGTTATGTTATAGTATTATTCATGTATCAATTTATTCAATTACGTGTGATAGTTGTGTAGTTTTGTTTATGAAGGTTTTAATTTTGTTAAAGAAACGTTGCCCCACACTAGTATTTTCTCCTGTTTCGTGGGTTTACAGACCCGAAACAACAATTTGTGGATCACAAAAAGTTTTGTTCCGTGTGGGAATCAAACCTTCGACTGCGCTGCACTGCGCCACCCGTGCAGTCGTTAAAATTATTTTCACCAAATATTTATCTCAATAAACATTTGAGTAATTTAAGAATTACCTAGTGTATTCTTTCTGTTTTTAAGCTAAAGCGCGGCTCGCGGATTTATCAGAAATATCATATCTTCTGCTTGTCAAATGAACGGGAAAAAATAACTATTAGAAAGCGCCTATTTACATTTAAACATAGAGATTTGATAATATTACCAAACCACAAGAAAACCTTATCACAAAAAAGAAAAAAAAAACAATGAGGAAAAAATAGAAACAATTTTTTTGCGAAAAAAAAAACTCGGCGCAGAGCGAGACCGCAGGACGATTTATTTTAATAACATTTCAACGTGCTAGGCTTTCCATGAAAAACTGTTACAACTCCGCCGCAACTTACTAACAACCTTATCATGAAGAAATAAGGTCTAAATTATGAAGGTGTAAAGCCAAAAAATAATTAATTCCATCCCCGTTGTAAATGCAGTCGGTAAACCACAAATATTGGTTGAAATTCGTTTTTCGTGTTTACGTACAATTTAGGATTTATATTTATTGTTGAAATACTTTATATTTTTGGGAATAGTTGTCCTCAAAAATAACCACTACGACATTTGTACCGAGCTGCATAAGATAACTTTGTTATTGTTTACTTCGTTATCTTTCCACACTTAATTCTAAATTACTATCAATACCGAA